CAGATCAAGTTCCGACAGCTTCGCACCTCTGAGCTGAAGCACGGCCGCATGGGCCCCGCCCCGCTGAGAGGTATGAGAAGAGAGTGCAGACGATGCCTCAGCCGAGGCATCGCCATGCTGGCGGCCATTGGCCTGCTGGGCCAGCGGATGCCCCGAGAAGTCGCAGCCGAACAGCCACAGCTAGCGGCACTGAGAGTCTAAGGCACTACCTGCGCTTTCCCTTGGCCGTCTTCGACGAGCTCCCCAACGGCATAGGCGCTGCCGCCGAGGTGCCCAAACCTCGGTGTGTTGAACCGACAGTCGATAGCCGAGAGAGCCTCCACAAAGGCCCGGGCAAATCGGGATCTTCACGCTCTTCGGGGTGGCGCTGCTGCCCGAGTTCAGCACTCCAGCGGGAACCTCGGAGCCAAGCTGCATGGCTGAGCCGTCCACGACTTGCCTCGAGGATGCCTCGAAAGAGGTGGGGGACTTTGGAGGCGCTTGCAGTGGCCGGTTACGCAGCTACGCCATGCTACGCCCTGCCCTACGCCTGCCAGACCCCTTGAACTTCCAGATGCTCACCTTCGGTGCAGATCTCTCCGAGCTCCGGGACCGGGAACTGAACAATGGCAGGCCAGGGCCTCCGCCAGGGCCTCCGCCAGGGTCTCCTCGTCTTCAAGAAGCGACCTGATTCAGGTTTGCCATGTTCGCGACCATGGGCATCTTGGGAGCCTGGCCCCAAGAACACCTACGGCGCCCTTGCGGGCTTTGAGCCGGCTCTTGCGTCTGAAGGCGGAGCTGGCAACGGGCAAGGCGCGACACGACGACACGACGACACGACGACACGACGACACGACTCTTTCCTCGCGTGCCGTGCACTCAGGACGCCGTGGAGCAGCTGGGGCTCGCATAGCCGCGCCCCCCGCGACCGGGACGAGAGACTGAGAGCGCTTGGAAAGGTGTTTTTTGCTCGGTGGCTCGGAGTGCGATGCCGAGTGCGGAGGGGAGCCGCAGCGCTCTAAGGGCTCAGAAAGTTGAAGCCGTGCCGCCATGGGCCTCCTGCGTATCTGCGCCACTGCCCGCGCCGCGACGGCCAGGGCCAAGCCAATGCCGTTGAGCCTGACCCAGGTAGATCTCAGCGGATCAGAAACGTCGTGGGGCGGCCTTCGCGTGCCCTTGGTGCCAGGCTAGCAGCAACAGCTTCCCATTCGTTCCAGTGGATTGGGCCAGGGCCTCTTTGCCAAGGCAACCACTGTTGGGTCTTTCTGGCGTGGATCTTGATATGTTATCGCACACACGCTATACCGCGATAGCTCTCTTCCCGCGATGCAAAGGAGGTTTATAGATCATCTGCGCGCACAATATGGAGCCGGGTTCGAACATGACGGCGTGGTGGAGAGGAAACCGGTTTTCACTTGCGTGTTCTGTTTTGGCTTGTCAGGCTTTTTGTCTGGTGTCGCTTTAGATGCAACGGTCTCGAGCGAAAGCCCTCTTTTTGCAGCTTTGCCGGTTCGGGGTGGGCCTCCGGTTTGGGCACCGGGGCTTCCGTTGATGCCTTAAACCACGGTTTTGGTGTTCGATTCGGTCTAGGGCTTACGAAATGGGGTGAGGGGTGATGGCTTCCACAGAGTTTTCGGCTTCCGGTCTAGGGCCAGGGTCCGGGGGACTTTCTAGTGCTCTGCGGGCTTGTGCTCGGTGTAGTCACCTCCGCCCGCTCCAACGGGGCCTCCGGCACGATACTAAAGGGACCTGGCATCATCGAGGTCCTTGTTGTTCTTCCTGGCATTGTAGACCACCGTATCCAAAGCCACATGGAGGTGGCTGTCCATCGCAGGCGTCTCGCCAAACGTGTTGGCCCGCAGCTGCAAGTCGGACTCGGCAATGCTGGTGTCCCCGCGCTCCCTTGGCCCACGACTGGGAACCAAGACTCGAACTTATACGACCACTGCTTTCTCGCATCCTCGTGCGAGCCCTGAAGTCGGGCTTCCCGACCCGCTTCAAATCCACCAGGTTTAGCTTTTTGCTCATGGCTTCCAGGGCCTTCACTTGTGCTTCGGTGCCGCAGCCGCGGCTGCCTGGGGAGTGCCGTTTGTTATCGTCTCCTCGACCGGCGCCCCGCCGCCATGCAGCGGATGTTTTGGGCTAGCGCACTCCACGCGTCTTTCTGCCCGTGAACAACTGCACATGCTACCTGCTACCCAAATAAGACCACGGTAGACCAACACAAGCCGGAAGCCGGGAACCCAAACGGCCGAAAGCTAACCAAGAAACCCAAAAACCAAGAACCCTCCCTGTAAACCCGCGCCCAAACCCTGAGTCGCCTCAGTCCTAAAGACCTGCGATTTCCGAAGGAGATTTAGCTTCAGCCCTCTGAGCTTGTCATTCTGTGCAGCCTTCGACTTGCTCACATGTGCCACGGACCGCTGCTTTTCCTCTCGAAACGACAGGCAACCCTTTTGCCTTGGTGCGCATTGCGCGCCCGAAGCTACGACGGAGCTCATCTGAGTGAGCAAAAGTTCGGAGCCGCAGCAAGTGCTTTGTGTGCGGTGGTGTGGGCTTTCGCAAGTTGGCGGTTCATAGGAGGTGCCGTGCTACCAGCAAGACCGAACCCAAGCCCTTGACAAGCAGAAGCCCTAAACCCTCAAGAGCGAAAATTTCGAGAAACCCAACCCCGAACCCTGCAGGGGTGGCGAAAAGCCTATGCAATGAACCCACCCCGGACCCCTCCCATCCCAAACCCCAACCCCAAAACCAGAAGCCCAGCTCAAAACCCAACAACCGAAAGCTTCGGAGGAGAACGTGTCCGAAAACGGAAGCCGAAAACCCTTAGGGGTGGGAAGCCCTAACCCTGAAGCGTTGAAGCCGAAAGCATCGAAAGCCATTCATGAGCTTGCACCTCTCGCCGCCCCCCCCCCCCCCCGCGGTTTCCGCTGGCACAGAAACAAGTTCACGTGCTGAAACCCAGGTGTGTTGAGGCTTCCATGCAAGCTTGTGGAGGCCGAATCTACTGTACGGTATGTTTCATCTTATGTTGGCGTCTACATGGGTGCAAACGTTAAATCTCGTTTTACTACCTCAACTTGCCCAGCAAGTGTACATCTACAGGGAGATGATATCTCCAAACGAAGGCATGCATGTACCGGTTCAACTTGTCATTCAATGCACCTGAGTTCCAATCCTTGTTGTTGAAGCTTCTTGGAAAAAAGCGAACTGATGATTGCCACCATCTGTCCACCACCTGCGTCCCAGCCCAAGTGGCTAGGAAACTCTATATATATATATATACATGCACACGTAAAGGGTGTATATGTATCTGGAGGGCAGGTTGCTGTGGGGGCTGGGTTTTCGAAACCCCAATTTTTACGGATTAGGGATATGTTTATCGGAAATATCGCCCACAATAAGTATAATACACTCCAAGTTGCGAGGATGACGAAGTATACATTGGATGCGCAGACATGCAAAGAGAACAAGTTCAAAACTAGTGGTGCCGACAGTACTGCGCTCTGGTTGATTTTGAGCGACTATTCTGCATGATGCACACACGTGTCGCTCTTAGCTACTTGTTGCTGCAGGTCGTTTTTTTTCTACCGTTGATCTAGGCGATACGTCGTCGCTGGGCTTCCAGTTTTTCCCATCACCCGAGTCGTCCTTCTTCATGGCTTTGGCAGACACCTTGTGTACCAATGATTGCGTCAACCATTGCTCTCCCTGGATGTGGTTGAGCATGTAGAGCAAGGCGCACTTGACGTGATCGTTGTTGTTTGCGACCTGGTAGTTGATGACGCTTACCTTATGTGCGCAGAAGGCTTTGGCAGGTCCCAGAGGAATGAACGCGGAGGAGTTAAAAAAATTCAGTACCGTGTGCTTGCCGTCCCGCTCAGGGGATGTGGCCATTGACAATACGCAGCAGTCTCCAAGAGCATCACAAAGTCAGGTAGCTCGTTAACTTTGGGCGGGTCCGAGTTGAAAACATTGCGGATGATATCGCAATCTGCAGCAGAAACCCCCTCTACGATGTGGAAGAACTCCTTGAATTTCTCACCTTTGGCGTTGGGGGCAACAATCGGCGGAGGGTCTTTGATGGAAGACGCACCTGAATCATTGAAGCTGTGTATGACAGCAGACTGGTACTTGATGTACGTCATCTTCGCTGCGATGATTACGTGATCCATGTGTGCAAAGCGAGGATTGCAGATGGCACTGAGGGCAGTATCTGAGCTGTATCAATGAGCAACAGCTTGAGGAAGCGAAAGGCAGGACGAGTTTATAAGCACGGCCATGTTTATAACCATGTTTGGAGCTTCAGTTGACTTCAGGTGTGATGGGCCCGGTGCACAGCCTTTGACGGCCATGGCGATGTCCGCTTTCTCCTTCCTGGCTCTCCCCTGCCGACCGCTCGAGGAGGTATAGAGGCTTTCTTGCCAGATGTCATGCCATCCTGTGGTTCATGTGCCCCAATCCGTAGGCAATCCAAGAAGATGATGAAGAATCCGAGTATGAGGAATCCGAGTCCGAGCCGGCACGTGTTCCTTGGTGTCCACCGCGTTCTCTGCTTGTGTCCTGGGTGTTCTCTGCCCCCTTTAGTTCCAACTCGGGGTTCTCTAGCAAGTCGTTGGCATCCTTGGCGCCTTTGGCTACCTCCAAGTCGGGGTTCTCTGTGAGCAAGTCCTCGGCGTCCTTTGCCTCCTCGACCCCTACCTCCAAGTCGTCTCTGTGAGCAAGTGCTCGGCGACCTGTGTCTCCTTGGCCTCTACCTCCAGGTCGGGGTTCTCCGCGATCGAGTTCTCGGACTTTGCCTCCTCGGTGTACGGCTTGTCGTTTACATCACCATCCAAGATGGCATGGGGAGCTGCTGCTTTGCTGCGGGTGCCCTTCTTCGGCGACGACAACCATTTGTTGAGCGTCTCCAAGGCTTGTGGGGTCCATTCGCCCTTCAAGCCAGTGCTCAAGTTGAAAGATCGTTGGATGTAGCAGATGTCAGATTGGAGCTGACGACGGGAGAGAGTAGTAATTTTCATCCGGGAGGGCGGCAAGGTTGGTACCGTTCTATCACACTGTTCATCCTATCGTGAGGAGATATCAGTGCTGAGATGGTAAGTGCGACGTTATTCGACCCGAATTATGGGGTTTGTTGTCGAGTGGTGGAAGGTTTATGTGTGGCGCTACGTGTTAAGCTGCGAAATGTAGGTTATGGTTGCGGTTAGGGCGGAGCCGGCAGGTTTCGGACAAGCTCGTCACCTTCCGAAATCCAACTATTTTCCAGAATTTTTGCAGAAAATTTGCAAACTCGCCACCGTCTGCCAAATTTTGCCGCGTCGCGGTCCGGCACACTGCCGGCGGCGGGGGGGGGAATTTCGGGACGGGGACGGCCCGGGCGCGCCGGGGGCGTCCGACCCGACCCTCCCCCATTCCCCGACTCTTTCTGACTTGTCTAGCTTTGCTGTTGCAAGCCAGCTGTCCCCCGACTCTCCCCGACTCTCCCCGGCTCCCCCGGCTGCCCCCGACTCTTCCCGACTCCCCGCCACCTCCCACCTGTGCTCCCACGGTTTTTTTGTGTTTGAACCGGATTTTTGGCGAATTTGAAAAATTATGGTTTTTCCATGTTTTTCCAATGTTTTGCGTTTTTTGTTTTTCCGCCACAGCCAACGTTTTCGGCTCTGGCAGAATTTCGTCCATGTTTTTCCAATGTTTTGCGTTTTCCCGAAAGCATCGCGAAGGGTTCTTCCGTGTGGAACGCCGCAGCTGAGTACATAGATGACAGACATAGAATCAACTTACTTGACTCCATACTTTACTCTACACTCTACACTTGATACTTGACTCTACACTTGATACTTACTTACTTACTTGACCCCTATGACTGACTCTCTACACTTGACACTTGACTCTATGATACTTGACTCTACACTTGATACTTGACTCTATGTTATGCTTACGACTTACTTACTTACTTACTTACTTCAATCTACTTACTAACTTACTTGACACTTGACACTTGACACTGGACTCTATGTTATGCTATCTCTATACTTACTTACTTACTTACTTGACTTGCTTACTTATACTTACTATACTTACTATACTTACTACTTACTGACTTACTTACTGACTCTACTTACTTACTTATGATTACTTACTTATGACTGACTCTCTATGCATCTATGACTTACTATGACTTATGACTTACTCTCTACATCTCGGTATCTTAATATTTCTTTTAAAGGCGGGGGTGGCACCGTCGGGGTCCATCGGGAATGCAACCCTTCACAGGGATTCGCCTCCTCGGGCGTTCAAACGCTAGGTAAAGTGACACATTTTAGGCGCACCGTGCAACCCTTCCCAGGGATTCGCTGCCTCGGGCGTTCAAACGCTAGGTAAAGTGACACATTTTAGGCGCACCGCGCAACCCTTCCCAGGGATTCGCTGCCTCGGGCGTTCAAACGCTAGGTAAAGTGACACATTTTAGGCGCACCGCGCAACCCTTCCCAGGGATTGGAACTCTCGAGCGCCAAACGCGAGGTAAAGTTACACATTTTGCGGTGCCCGCGCAACCCTTCACAGGGATTCGCCTCCTCGGGCGTTCAAACGCGAGGTAAAGTTACACTTCTTGCGGGCGCCGCGCAACCCTTCACAGGGATTCGCCTCCTCGGGCGTTCAAACGCGAGGTAAAGTTACACTTCTTGCGGGCGCCGCGCAACCCTTCACAGGGTTTGGGTGCAGTTCAATTTTTTTTTGCAACCCTTCACAGGGATTTGCATTTTGCAACCCTTCACAGGGATTGGCGTGGTCGGGTGTTCGAACGCGAGGTAAAGTTGCATTTTTTGATTTGCATTGAAATGAATTTTGCAACCCTTCACAAGGATTGGCGTGGTGGAGTGTTCGAACGCGAGGTAAAGTTGCAATTTTTGATGAGCATTGAGATGAATTTTGCAACCCTTCACAAGGATTGGCGTGGTGGAGTGTTCGAACGCGAGGTAAAGTTGCAATTTTTGATGAGCATTGAGATGAATTTTGCAACCCCTCACAGGGATTGGCGTGGTCGAGTGGTTGAACGCGAGGTAAAGTTGCAATTTTTGATGAGCATTGAGATGAATTTTGCAACCCTTCACAGGGATTGGCGTAGTGGAGTGTTCAAACGCGAGGTAAAGTTGCAATTTTTGATGAGCATTGAAATGAATTTTGCAACCCCTCACAGGGATTGGCGTGGTCGAGTGGTCGAACGCAAGGTAAAGTTACACATTTTGCGGTGCCCCGCGCAATCCTTCATTGAGAGGGATTAGCTTCCTCGAATGTTCTAATCGGAAGGTGTGCAGGTACTGTTGCATGGTCTTTGGGCGCTGCGTGTAACCCTCTGCATGGATTGGCGTGGTCCAGGGTTGAAACGTGTGTGCAAACTACTACTTGTATCCTTTCCGCCGTGCAACTCTCCACAGGGAGTGGCGTGGTCGATTGCAGGAACTTGCATCTCTGCGAGGTGCAATTGGCAACCCTTCAGAGGGATTGATAGTATGTATATAAATGGACAGATATAGATAGTAGATAGATGTGTATATATATATATGTATAATATATATATATATATATATATATATTTATGTATAGTATCCATATATTATGCATTTGCCAATCCCTCTGACAAGTTGCCACTTGACCTGTTGAGTCAGGCTCTGAGCCCTCACGCTAGGCGGATCTTGATTAAGCGTTCCCACACACAGGGCATAGAGTGAACTACATCGAGTCAAGTGTATGGTACAAAGATGACTCCACGACTCCGTGACTCTATCTCACTACAACTCTATGACTTTATGAATCATGACCCATGGACTCTATGACTCTTGATTCTGTGACTTTACGATCCTATACAGTGACTCTATCTCACTACGACTCTATGACTCTATGTCACTACAACTCTATGACTTTATGACTCATGACCCATGGACTCTATGACTCTTGACTCTGTGACTTTACGATCCTATACACTGACTCTATCTCACTACGACTCTATGACGCTATGTCACTGCAACTCTATGACTTTATGACTCATGACTCATGGACTCTATGACTCTTGATTCTGTGACTTTACGATCCTATACACTGGATCTATCACATAGCCCCACACTCTTCGCTGATGATGCTTTCGGGCCAATTGTCTTCTAGTTTTGTTTTTCCGCCACAGCCAACGTTTTCGGCTCTGGCAGAATTTCGTCCATCAAAAGTTGGGCGTTTCGCGAGTCTATGTTTATATAGAGTTCATAGTCAGTGGTGTGTGAAAACCAGGCGTACAGAATTGGTGCGTAGCAACTCGGTCAGCTCCAGGTTGTACAAGTTTCAATTCATGACAATGCTCACAGTATGCCCCCTCGTGTTCCTGGATTGGGGTTACGTAGACTTCGGAATGTGCCGACCCCGATGAAAATTGCTAGGAGAGAGTTCTCTTCGATGCGTGTACATTTGAAGTCTGCGAAGCAATATGCGACGTGATGTCCTGAATCGGCGGCATTCCGGAGGAACTGTTCGGTGAAAGCGACGTTGTGGAAGAAGAAGAAGAAGCAGTTGTCGCGAGGTTAACTCCGGTGAGCTGGAGCTTGCGCACACCGTTCTCGAATTCAACGAAACCTCGACCGCTTCATGCTTCTCTACCGCTAAACTGCGAAACACTGCTAAACACGTCTTAATCCGAAAATGCTGCATCAAAAGCTTTGTGAAGCTGACTTCATCATGGGAATCGCGACATGAGCCTTACAAAAAGAAGAGTAGCGCAGTCTAGGATAGTCCAAGTGCAGCCGCGGTGCATTATGTATATATCTACATATCTAAATACATGAATATACATAGATAGATATATAGATATATAGATATATAGATATATAGATATATAGATATATAGATATATAGATATGTCTCCTAATTATCGGTCTGGTGGGTAGGAATTAGGAGATCAGTTTCGCGATCGTTGGAACAGACATTTTGGCGATAGCCGATCGGGTCATACCGAAAAATCGGCGTGGGAGGGGGAAGTGAATAGGCTCGCTCGATCGCAGCCATGTCGTTCCCTCCCGCTGGCTTTCATCAAGGTCGGCAGATGGCGGCTCCGATGGCCCCGCAGTTCGCCGGCTTGGTCAGCCTGAGAATCCGGGCAACTGGGGACACTACGTTCCAGGCGAGGCGGAGGCTCCCGAGAATCCCGCGGCTCCAGCTGCCGCATCCGGCGATTGGGGCTCTGGAGGCTGGGGTCGCGACGATCGTCGTGGACGTCGTGACCGCGGGGCTCCTGCTGCCCACAACCCCTTCGCTGTTCAGCGGCCTGAGTTCGTTCGCCAGGTCGTGGTCGAGGAAGAGGACGAGACCCAGAACTCGCTCCTCGTCATCGACAACCGCGACGACCGGGTGATCTCCCCGTTCCAGAACTGGCTGGCCGAGGAGATCATCTCGAATGCCGCCAGCTCGATCAATGTGCTGACGGAGCGGGACTCGGTCATGCCCCCGAACTCGGGCTACCACTGTTCGCTGTTCGCGAACTATACGCTCGATGGCATCAAGGCCGTTCTGCTCTTTTCGATGTCTTCGAAAACAGGGGACCATGTGCTCAGTGGGACTCCTACGCGAGTCGGGCGCTATCGCACCCGGCTTTCCAGCCCTTCACTTGGCCGGTGATGTTCGACACCTCGGCCACCTATGTGGATGTGAAGGTCTTCAATGGAAACGAGGTCCTATTCCATTGGGTCTTCAGGGGCTACCGCTCGGACTCGGATCTTTCTGTCCAGCAGCAGTTCTGCGACGAGGTGTTGATCCGGTCAGCCAACGAAGGATGGTTCCGACCCTCGATCGTCATCTCGGTCTTCGTTGGATGGAAGGTCTCCGTGACCTCGTTCGAGGTTGGAGCCCGAGTCTACACGATCGGCCCGAGAGGAGCAGTGATGGCGAGCGACCATGCCATGAGCACCTGTGAGCTCAGGGTGACAGAACGCTCGTCCCGAGAAGGCTATGGGAACGACGCCGATCGTGTTGAGTTTCGGTT